GCACAGGCTTGGAGCATCAATGTACATAAACTGTAGGAAATTTGTTTGTTTGTTTGGTTGGTTGTTTATTTGGTTGATTGTTTGTTTGGTTGGCTGTTTGTTTGTTTGTTTGTTTGTTTGTTTGTTTGTTTGTTTGATAGTTTGGTTGGTTTGTTTGTTTGTTTGTTTGTTTGGTTGGTTGGTTGGTTGTTTGTTTTTTATTTGTTTGGTTTTTGTTTGTTTGTTTTTGTTTGTTTGGTTGTTTGCTTTTTTTTGTTTGGTTGGTTGTTAGTTTGGTTGGTAAATTGTTTGGTTTGTTGATTGTTTGGGTGTTTATTTGGTTGGTTGTTTAGTTGTTTGCTTGGTTAATTGTTTGTTTGGTTAGTTGGGTGGTTGTTTATTTGTTTGTTTGTTTGTTTGTTTGTTTGTTTGTTTGTTTGTTTTTTGGTTGGTTGGTTGGTTGTTTGTTGGTTTGGTTGTTTGTTTTTTTGGTTGATTGCTTGTTTGTTTAGTTGCTTGGTTGTGTTTGTTTGTTTGATTGGTTGTTAGCTTGGTTGTTAGTTTGTTTTTTCTTTGGTTAGTTGTTTGTTTGTTTGGTAGTTTGGTAGGTTGTTTGTTTGGTTGTTTCTTTGGTTGTTTGTTGTTGGTTGGTTGGTTGTTAGTCTGGTAGCTTGTTTGTTTGTTTGTTTGGTTGTTTGGTTGGTTAATTGGTTAATTGTTTGTGTGGTTGGTTGGTTCTTAGTTTGGTTGTTTGTTTGTTTGGTTGGCAAGGTGTTTTGTTTATGTGGATTATTTGACTTATAGCATTGATATTTGCCAGAATTGACAAGTAGATTTGAGCAGAGGGTTAATTTCTTCTGTTACTGTTTGCAAAATATAGTGTTTTCTACTCTAAATTACACATCTAATTTAATGGTTGCATTTTTTTATCTTAATTTTAGCCTTAGTCTGTTTTTTATTAGATTATAACAAAAATGCTTTCATAGCTTTGTTTCCTTTCCAGTCTGTCAGATGCTGAAGCCATTGTTGCCACCTACCTGTTTGAATGTTTAGCCTAAGTTGCAGTTGAATACTGTTTGTCTTAGATTAGATGCGCAAGTGCCACTTATCCAATACAATGACAGGGACACTCATTTTGGAACAGTTAGCCTAAGGAAATTGTATATTTTAAATTATGTTTTGCGAAAAATATTTTAGTCTTGTCTCGCTAGTTGTATAGTTGCTCATTTACTGACATAGTTGTAGCTTGTTGACATCTTATCTTAGTGATGGAATAAATCAACCCAGGCTCTTTAGTGATACATACCCCTGTATACATTTCTGGAGACCATGAAGTACTTCCCCGGAGGTAAGTTTTTTGCTGTTTTTATTTTCAAAAATACACTTAAGGTCACTTTGTACATTTATTTCAGATCTCAAATTTCTCTTGCGAGAACCATTTGTTCCCGCTGTTCTTGCATAAATCCACTAGAGGCTGCTGTCGACTGAATGACTGACCGACCGACCAATGTACTCATCCACCCCCTTCCCTAAACCCAACTGATAATGTTTTAAAAAGCACGGATTGACCCGATCACCCTCTTCCCTCAACCCAAACAACAGTGTTTTCAAAAGCAATCCAGAAAAAGAAAAGCCCTTGCAGCCGCCTTATTTTTACCACATTCTTACCCTGTTATTTACTTACATTATTTACTGAATTAATTGTTATTTACTGAATTACGTTCATTGCCAGATTGCAAACCCCAACGTTGCAGTCAACTCCTTTCTGTGTCTCAAGTCTGCCGACGTACATGGAGAGCTACTGGGCAAACTGGTAACAGAGGAAAAGCCGTCCACATGAAGATAAGCGGTCAGCTGGTAGTGTGAAAAGAAACAGAAGCTGTCAGCAGTGTCATACCGGCCTGTAGTGTTCATTTTAAAGATGGGGGTACATTTTCACAATGAGCCTGTGTTGGAATAAATGGTCGTCAACGAATATTATTCGTTGTTTTCTTTAACGAAATGAACACTGGTCTAGTCACCATGGATATGGATTAATTTTTCACAATGGTCCTGAGCTGTTTGGAATGCAATACAAATGCTTCAGTAGTTAGTAGGCTAGGTAACGCAAGTACAATATAAACAGTGTTCAGATGATGATCGGATAATTCTGTTTTTGGGATTCCTTTTTAACTTATTTTTACTTTGTTGAATAAGAGAAAAAGTGTGTTTCTGCTTGTTATACTTCTGTAGAGAAACTGGTAACCAGGCAACACACCACACACACATACACCACCAGCACTGCTCAGCATGGTTGTCAAATTCCTGGCTAAAAACTATTTGTAACATGCTGTACCAGGCTAAGGTGGAAGTACAACAGGAACTCTGCCACTCAAGTTGAAACAATAATAGCACTGTCGTGATAATTGTAATTTTGCAATACTGCACTATTGACAAGCCAACTTCAGAGGGACAAAAGAAACTGTTGCAAATCACGTATTATTTATGACCCTTCCAAATAAGATAAAAACAAAGCTTTTCATTCTAGGGGCTGTAAATATATACGTTTTTGGAGAACTACACTAAGCCACTTAGCTGTTTTAATACTTCGAAATGAAGTTTGAATCATTTTATACTTTGTATTTATTGTTATTTTATTTATTTTTGATATGTAATTATGACTAATTAATTCTATTTATGCATTTCTACAACAGTTCTGTCTGGATCTCAAATCTGATTGGCTGATAGCCGTGATATATTTAAGTAATATTAGCATATTACATCCTCTTTACCCTTTGTGTATTACTCCGCCCACATACAGCCAGTTACAAGCAGACACTAAAGTTTGACAAATATTGCTGCAGTTAGACAACAAAATATACTTTGAGGCTTTTTTAGTCAAGAGTGTAGTTGTTTAGATTGCAACTATCAGTTTATTTGCAAGAATAGTGCGTATTTTAAAATATTTACAATTTCTGAGAGACAGCTCGTACAATATGGCGACAGAACCACATAATAAGCCCTTACGCTTAGAAGATATAACAGTCTAATTTCTAACTATAGCAGATCAAATCAATATTAAACTGGTAAGCACTCCTGCCAATATTTCCGTTTTTCATGGGACTATCCCGTATTTCAGACCAGTCTCCCGCAAACATCCCGCTTTTATTTCTTCCTAAAAAAACTCCCGTAATTTCACCCAACCCCTCTTTGGTACAGTCTGTAAACTAAACACCCCCGGGTTGCCAACCTTGGTACAGTACCCGATCGAAGCGGCCACCCAAAACCCGCTGCATCCTGGTCTCAACCTCACCCCCGAACACTCCCCAACCCCCCCGCCCACGGTCTCCCGGGTTTTCAGAGACATGTTGGCAGGTTAGACGATCTCTCTTTTTTTATGTTGTAGTGCTGTATTTATACCGATTTGCTGGCATTTCAGGAATGTTTGTTGTGTTGGCAGATTAAACTAAGCAAAGTCTGCATGTGTTTAGCGTTTTTCTTTATCGCAAACACAACAGCAGTCTGGTAACGTTAATAGATTCGTTGTTATTTTCTGGGTTAATTATTGTGAAATCCCGATTGCAGCGGAGAAATACTGTAGACTAACACTGTTAGAAGATATCTCTGTAGATGGATGGCATTTTATGTCACGTTCAACTCTTAAAGTGTAAGCAAAATCAGCGGTGTTGTCATCACTTTAGACAGAGCCATTCAAACACTAGTTCTGAAGTGACGTTGGTGAATTAGTAACAACTTCTGCTGTTTTGACGTCACATGCAGATGTGAATGACTGGCGGAAGAAAGTAGTTCCTTATAAAAAAAGGGTTTTTTTCTCAACGTGTTTGATTTTCTTATTTATGTACAGGATTGTGATGTTGAACTGTTGTATAAATGCAATATCACACTCGTAGCAGTGCTGGTGTGACGCTATTGACCTTATTCTCCGCAGACGACCGGGCGCTGCCATTTGAATCTTTTTGGCACGAGACTTCCGGTCTCATTCAGTTCCATTCATTTTTAGACATTAAAAACTGCTCGTTTCGTTGTTTGATGTTGCAAACTGATATTTCCATGTTGTATTATTCTACTTGGTCTATATAGTCATGCAAATATTTGTTTTTAGAGCAAGTAGTTTGACCGTTTTTTGCCGTTTATTATTCCTTGTCATTTCTCCCATAGGCGACTGAAACGGAAGTTCTAAGACAATCGCGAAAACAGGCGCACTTCCGCATTTGAGAATAAGGTCAATATATATAAATATGATATTTAATAATGTATAAAGTATTTAACACACTCTTGTATGAGCTATCTTTATGATGATTTCCCATAGACATACTACATTATATACTGTATTGACTGTATATTATACCTCCCTACCCGTAAAAACCCTCATAGTTAACATTTTGCATTCCTACATTTTCAAAATACTTCATTAGGTATTTGAGTGAGCCGTTTTCCACATAGTTACCAACCAAAAATAAATAAATAAAGAATTTCACAAAAGATCAAATTGACTGGTTTTGCTATACTTGTGGGGACATTGTATGGACTGTAAAGCGCATTCCTTGTGAACCGTCCCTAACTGTACATAGGTTATAGTTTAGATGTTGATTAATTCAGTTGTTTATTCTACCGCATGCATCAGACATTATTTACACTGCATATGCCAGACAAGTCAATGCTCTGTTGTTAGAGGAAATTTAATAGCAATCAGAGGCTTCTAATGAATCACATATGGGCCGTCGTGAGCTAATGGTGTTTGTTTTCCCTTATTAATGTGTTATTTGTCAGAGAAATGCACAAGGGCTTTCATGTCAGACGGCAGGTTGGCAGAACTGATGAGCTGTTGATGATAACGTTCAGTAGTAGAAATGATCCTGACAGCTGGGCGGCACTCTAAACACAACAGAATCTTGGGCTTGCGTGTGTGGAATCACTAAAAGAAATATCTTCTGCAATGTTAACTACAGCATGTTTGGTATTCATTGTATTGTTTTCAGCAGATCGTCACTCTCTCTTTCTCTCTCTGTTTCTCTCTTCAGGAGAATCACTAACTCATGGTTAAGCACAGGCTGGTTCACAATGACTATTGCCTTAGAGCTCTGTGACAGGATCAATGTTTATGGCATGGTGCCTCCAGATTTCTGTAGGTAAGTCATATTTCTATGCAGTAAATTCTGAGACCACTTACCTTTAAACAACAAATATATTTAAAAACAAAAGGATTATCTTTACATGTTGTTGCATTGTTTTGGTATTTATAAAAGGATCAAGTGACATTTCGTATGCTCAAGCGATCTGACAGCAGTCAGTGCTCCACATAGAGATCTGATCTAAGCATCATCATGAAGAAACAACAAACTGAGACTAAATCCAGAAGAATTGTAGCAACTTCTCCAAGACACTTCAAAACACCTACCTGTCGTGCTACAGTACTGTAATGTGTAAACATGCATTTAAATATAACGGCATAAATAAATATTGTTTGAATATTATCTTCTATTAACTACATTAAATCAACACTTGCTATAACCGCCGTTTGCATTTTGCCCTACACTGCAAACATGTTTGCATATAGATTGTTTTAGTTTCTAGTCCAAATATCTAAAACTTTTAAAATCATATAGGCAAGCAAGACATATTGTGTTGCTTTTAGAAATATGCAGTCGAAATTAAATGAATCTTACCGTAAAACAAGCAAAATAATCTTACAAGGGGGTAATCAAAATAATCGTGTTTTTCCTTTTGACATACGATTATTTTGCTTAGCCCAGTGGCAGAATATTTAGCTTGTAATAGGGAAAAACTCATTCTTCTTAAAACAAGACAGTGGGCTCTATTTTAATGATCTAGGCGCAAAGTCTAAAGCACATGGCGCTAAAGCATTAAGGGTGTGTCTGAATCCACTTTTGCTATTTTAATTATAGAAAAATGCGGTTTGCGCCCCAGACATGATCTAACAGGGTTGTGCTTTTTTTCTTATTGAGTTATGGGTGTGTTTTTAGCATAAAGTGCATTAAACCAATCAATCTGGCCTCTGACTCAAGCAGTTCTTACTTATTGTGGAGGTGCGCTTGTTTTAGAACTTCCGATTCAGTTGACTATAGTAGAAATGACTTTAAATATTAAACAAAAGAAAAAAGTCAAAATGTTTGCATCTAGCGCATTAATTATGTACCTACTGTATGCGAGTCCAAATGCTTTAACATTGCTTAATACACACAGTATGTACAGCAATACACAAATATATATTTAAATAAATAAATAAATAAATAAATATATATATATATATATATATATATATATATATATATATATATATATATATATATATATATATATATATATATACAGGGCTTTACATTAACACCCGCCAACCCGCCAAATGCAGGTAGATTTCAACTTTGGTGGGTTGGACATAATTTTTACATTGTAGTTTTCTTAAAGCAGGGTTCACAATAAGGATGGCCCAATATGCGTGCAAATGCGATCTTTGAATTGAGGAACAGCACGACTGAGAACAATAACTGTTCGCGCGAGACAAAGCAGGTGAATACCGTATGAGAGGATAATTACTGACACGCATCACATCACCTGTTAAAAGCGTGCGCGCTCCTGTTTACTTGCACTTTTTTTCCGTTCGCTTGCGATCGGTTCTCTTTGAAAATGACTAGACAAAAAAACGTTGCTCGTGCACCCACAGTACTGCTGCTTTAAAGAGCTCAAGATTGATATATATATATATATATATATATATATATATATATATATATATATATATATATATATATATATATATATATATATATGTATATATTTATATATATGTATATTTATTTGTAAGCAACAGCAGCAGTCAATGCTTTCGTTTTAATTATTCTCAGGCACGTGATCATCCTTTCATTATCAATCGTGGTATGTTTTTACGTGCTTTCTTTTGCTTACAGTTATTTTTGTTAATATAGTTTAATTATCATCCTTTACAATAACTACTTTAATATGAGATTTTTGAGATGACAAAATGAGATGACAAAATTGTGGCTAGTGAAAATGGCAAGTGGCTAGTATATGTATGTATGTATATATATATATATACATACACACACACACACACACACATACTAGTGTGTCCATGACTATACAGTCAAAGTAGTATAATACAATGTGCAAATATCAGTTTGCAGTGTCATGCAACATAACAAGGTGTGTTTTTATGTCTAAAATTGAATGAAGGAAAATAAACCTGGAAGTCTCAAGCCCACACAAATCAAATGGCTGCAGCCACTGTATGTGAAGAATAAGGTCAATACCTCAGTAAAGTTTTGCTGCTACTTAAGAACCACTTTTCCTGGTTCAGAGCCAGTGCTTTGGGTGTTGAAACACAATGAACCGAGAACCAGCAGTCAAACTGTCTTGGTGGAAGAGGTGTACTTCAGACACTCAGCAACCTGTTTTTAAGGTCCATCTGTAATCCCTACGGTGTTAGTCGTCTCTGTGCCTCAGTGAGAGTGTGACCTGAACCACAAGGGCCATCTGACTTGACATCCACCTCAAAGAGCTTTTTGCCCTCGGGAGCTGACTTGCATGCTCTGCTACCAAGCATACAACACAAATGGTGCGTCACCATCCATAACAGGGAGATGAATGCACCCTCTGCTTGAACTGCTGTTTGTGTGTATGTCTATGTATGAAGAAATGACCAACAGACATCATCAATATATATATAATACAAAAAGTTCCTAAAATGTATTGAGCATCCTTATTAGATATACACTCAGTTTATTAGGTACACCTGTCCAGCAACTCAATGCATTTAGGCATGTAGACATGGTCAAGACGATCTGCTGCAGTCCAAACCGAGCATCAGAATAGGGAAGTAAGGTGATTTAAGACTTTGAACGTGGCATGGTTGTTGATGCGAGATGGGCTGGTCTGAGTATTACAGAAACTGCTTATGTACTGGGATTTTCACGCACAACCATTGCTAGGGTTCACAGAGAATGGTCTGAAAAAGAGAAAATATCCAGTGAGCGGCAGATCTGTGGTCGCAAATGCCTTGTTGATGCCAGAGGTCAGAGGAGACCTCGTTACAACCTAGGTATGCAGAAGAGCATCTCTGAACACACAACACATCCAACCTTGAGGCAGATGAGCTACAGCAGTAAAAGACAACACTCCACTCCTGTAAGCTAAGAACAGGGACTAAGGCTACAATTGGCACAGGCTCACCAAAATTTGACAATAGAATATTTGGAAAACAATGCCTGGTCTGATGATTCTCAATTTCTGCTGCTACATTCAGATGGTAGGGTCAGAATTTGGCATCAACAACATGAAAGCATGGATCCATCCTGCCTTGTATCAACGGTTCAGGCTGGTGGTGTAATGGTGTGGGGTATATTTTCTTAGCACACTTTGGGCCCATTAGTACCATTTGAGCATCATGTCAACGCCACAGCTTACCTAAGTATTGTTGCTGACAATGTCCATCCCTTTATGACCACAGTGTACCCATCTTCTGATGGCTACTTCCAGCAGGATAACGCGCCATGTCATGAAGTGCAAATCATCTCAGACTGGTTTTTTTGAACATGACAATGAGTTCACTGTACTCAAATGGCCTCACAGTCACCAGAACTCAATCCAATAGAGCATCTTTGGGATGTGGTGGAACAAGAGATTCACATCATGGATGTGCAGCCGACAAATCTGCAGCAACTGTGTGATGCTATCACATCAATATGGACCAAAATCTCTGAGGAATATTGTCGAATCTATGCCACATAGGATTGAGGCAGTTCTAAAGGTAAAAGGCGGTCCAACCTGGTACTATTAAGGTGTACCTAATAAAGTGGCCGGTGAATGGAAGTCTGATCAAAGTGTTTTTTTTTTATTTTTTTTTATTTTACAACTTAATTGTTTATTCATACACTCAAAAATATTTTTGCTGCTTATTCAAGCTACTTATTTGAAATGAGCAAACAACAAATATTTTTGGGGACAACTGAATTATTTTATGTTCAATCCACTTAAATTTGTTAAGTTAATCTATTTGTGTAGTAGAACACAGCATTTTTACAGTGCAATGTTTAAAAATTCATATGTTGATCTTTCTATCTGTCTATTTGGTTTTTTTTCCTTGAGTTATATTGCCATGACAGTCCCTGCTGTGCGTCAGTGCTGCGAAAAATAATAATTGAGAACTGAAAATGACATGATTCATTGTGAATCCCTGCTGAGGCATGACCTCTCCCCCCTCCATTTCTCACCCGTAATGTATTACATAAAATCAATTTATTCCCCTTAAAGCGAGTTATTCTCCAAACCAAATCAGGTTAATTGCCTTGAAAATTAATATCTAGCTCAGGATTAATTGGGAATCAGGGAATGCAATGGCAACTCTCACACACTCCCCGTTTTAATCTCTGTTTTCATTGTGTGCAGGGAGTCTCAGCACTCATCTGTTCCGTATCACTACTACGAGCCCACGGGTCCAGATGAATGTGCCATGTACATCTCCCACGAGCGAGGCCGTCGAGGCAGCCACCATCGTTTCATTACAGAGAAACGTGTCTTCGCAAACTGGGCTCGGACATTCAACATCCATTTCTACCAGCCAGATTGGAGTCCTCCACCGTTACCCAGAAACAGCACAGCAACCGCAGCCTTTCCCAGACCGCAGAAGACGTGACTCTTTTACCCAGAGCCATCGGATGATATCAAAACTGCCTTAAAAGGATCACTGGCTAATCCTGTTGCCATTTGGATGGTGCTTTATGTATTGGATCGACTATGAAGAACTGCTCTAGGACTCCATTCATGGAAGACTGACGCTTTTATTTTGCACATTCATCGTTCCTTTAGGCATTCCATCAGTCCCTATTTTAGAAAACCTGGAGGATCAGTAGCTATGTTTTCATCCACCTATTTTTAGGAATATCGCAACAAAAGAAATGCTAAATGGAAATGCCAAGATGCGCAGGATAAACTTAGAGTAGGATCATCTTTTTATCCAATAAGAAAAATATGTGCAGAAACTACTACGTAAACGCATTTACATACAAAAATTCCCACATGCGCATCAAAAAAAGTAATGTGATTCTGTTTTAACAGATCACAAATGTGGGTGCGATGGTAAAGTGTTAATGGACCTATCATTGTTGTTTTGGTCCTTCTAAAACCTCTTAACCAAAGTCCATCATTAAAGTGGTTCCATATTTTTACCTCCCAGGGGTGTGTTTCCCAAACAATGACAGATCTCGTGGCTGAACTACCATTACTACCATAGTGCGATGCATTATTTGGAAAGAGATCAATGTAGCGACCAGTTTTTCCCAAAACTGTAGTTTCTTTGTTGCAGATCCATCATTTGAACCAAGCTAGTTATAAAAACCCCACCATTTTTGTACAAACTAAATTGTTTTACACGCATTTAGGTGTAAATTATGGGTTTTTTTAAGGAGAAATAACAAAACGGGAGGGTGGCGGGAGATGAGTCTGAAATACGGGTGTGTTGGCAGGTATGTTGTTAATGGATGTAATTTACTGTAGACTATTTATTTAAAAAATGAAAAAAAAATATTGATAATAATTATTATTTTTATTGTTGTTTTTAATTATTATTATTATTATTATTATTAAGTAGGATATTGTTTATTGATTTTTTTTTTTTAAAGTCTACTTTTACAATTTGACACATTCAAACCACTGCAGAAATCTTCTAACCAACAGGCCAATGTCATATACAGTACAGATACATTTCTAAATAAATAACCTACTATAAATTAAAATCATTAATGTATGCTATATATTTTTGTTTTCACAAGCTTTGGAGATGTAACATAAATTTCGCTTCATGTCATGTATAGCTTTTTTTAATGAACCACAGCTGCATTTAAATTGGCATAAATGATTTCAAAGTGCAATGCGAAGCTGACGCAATTACCTAACGCAAAGATCGCTAATTAATTATATAACGCAAAGATCGCTAAAACTAAAAAATACTTTGAAAGCAAATTAGACCTAAGACAGATGACTTTAATGTATTTTTTTTAAAATCAATCCAAGTTTAAATGTTGGAATGTTCGAAAGGAATAGGGAATAGGAGCATAACTGGTAATAGAACACAACCAAGAACTATGCTTCTAACTACTGCTCTAGGGGTGTAGTTGTAAGCGTACAAGATTGTGACGCAGTTTGCGAATGTTCATAGAAACCATAGACTGTAAAAAATGTGGACGTAGTATCCGTGACGTCACCCATAGGTTTCTAAAGAGTGCAAATGAAGCTTCAACCGGCGCCATTTTTTTTGAGTGTCATCACTTTAACTGGGGGTTACCAAACAATGGAAAAGAGGCGGAGCTAGAGGAGTCGCCTTGCATTTTGCTTAGACAGGCTTTTCTTTGGGAGAAATGCTTAATACTTTATCACCTGCAACTCGTTTGTGTTCTGAACACATGTGCTTGGTTGTAGACTATTTTAATAAAGCGTTTAGTCTTAAAAAAAAACTGTTGTAACACATTGAGCCACTAAACATTGTTCCTGTGACATTTTTCTACAAGAGAAAAACGCAAAATTACTTCCAAATACTTCAAATATAGTCTGTGTTAGTAAATGCTGAGCTATTTATGAAATCCAGGCATAACACTGTATGACAACACATCAGAGACTGTTTTAGAGCCTATCTCTAATCAATCTATCAGATTCTGGAGTGCTTTAGAGTTTTAAAGAAACTTTTAAACGATCCTAAATAAAAACGAATACATTTATAGATACGTATATAAGTACATTTTTTTTCTCACCAGGAAAATGGAGGCCACATGAATGGTTTTTGAACACTGTTAAGTGCACACAGCATGCCATATCATCTGATAATTGTAAGAAATAATTCCAAAAAGCAACTGACTGTGTAAAACAAAACAAAAATACAATATATATGCTGAGTTTAGCGTTATTAGCTATATGAACCAAAATCGTTTTTTGTACCAGGCTGTAAACACTTTTTTTCTGCTGTAAAGTTGGCCTTTTTAACAGTGGGCTCAATAGAAATATGCTCTATTATGGAGCCTGGCATAGTGGAATTTCGATGAATTGCAGTTTTAGTTACTTCCGAATTAGCTTCATGAGAGAGAGCGGGAGGTTGCCGCTTGGTTGGAACGATGGATTTGGGAAACACCAAATAAACAAACTATGTTTGTAACGAGGGAACTTGCTACCTTATTTGGCTTACAATAATTTTCACAAGCTGCCAAAAGCTACTGCGCTTTCATTGAATTTCGATTTTGGATTCTGAAGTGCAAGTAATTTATTATATAAAAAAAGGCGCACATTGTCTTCTCCTGTCACAGCAAATTCCATTTTGATTTTTGTTGCCAGTTTATTGGGAAGTGGCGATTTCATTCTCTTTGACTCGATGGATGGAAACGATATTCCAGTAAATCAAATTTGCATCTTTGGATGAAACATAGCAATTGGGAGTTGTTGTTTTATGTAGTCTTATATAAAAAGAAAAAGGGTGGAGGACTGAAAAGCCCTGTGCCTCATTTGTGAAAAATGCATAGACACTATTTTTTAAAAATTAGAGGGTTCTTACACAAAAATCTAAGCTAACCTTTTTTCATTCACATTTTTAGATTCTGTCTTTGACTTGAACAAGTGCTTAGTGCCACACACACTCAGATTTGATCTTAGATTGTGTACTCTTAAATCCACATAAATGTTCATATTTATAAAAACATCCTTTTATAGAAAAGTACTTACCAACAAAGTCATAGTACTGCAGCTATTTGAACATCTTATAAAAACGCTACTCGTTTAAATTGAAAAACTATTTGCTTATGACCCCTTTTGAGTCATATCACACATTAAAGTGAACCTCTTACAAAACCATGGTGTACACCACAGTCTCTGGAATTGCTGCATCATAGACATCTATATTTTAATAATAATTGTATCACTTTCTGGCCATCTGATAATACAACGCAATATCATGGCAATTCAAAACATTGTTTTTTTGACTAATTTGTATTCATTTGTACGTTCTCATCCATACATTTTAATACGGTTTGCTCATCCTCCAATGGGGGATAGAGTTAGGGTTGGAGTTTAGAGACACACCTCCCTTTAAAAATCATTACATTACAGTACATGTACAGTACATTTTCACACAAATTAAATCCTTTGAATTTGTATAAATTATCAAATTTGCTGAATATGTACCATGTAGAAATTTCTCTTAATAGTTCCAGTATTTTGTGATTCAAAAGTGTTTTCCGTTTATTTACAGTTGTGAATTGCATTATGGGACCTTTATCTCAGCTATGTCGACTTTTTATGCTGAAATGTAATTTCTACAGTTTAAGAAAGTGACTTGTATTGATATTTTAGTATTTTAAAATAATATATTGGGTAAGAAATAATATGTAGCGAAATAAGTCATACAAGAAAATGTACTGGCAGTTTATTACAAGGTTTTTGTAGCATAATATGGAACACCAACCCAGACAAATACAGCACTTCTAAACTAGTAAAATATTTCTTAAAGTCACTTTTCCCAACCTTTTAAGGTTAAAAGTTGTTGGAAGAAAGATAAATGTCCCATAATGGAATTAGGAAGCATAAATAAATGGGGGAAATAAAAACATGAATGACAAAAATATGTAAAACTATTAATATACAGATATTTTTACTGTGTGTGCGTATATATGAGCAGTATCACACATGTAGCAGTGCCATATGGCTGTATATCGACACTGATGGGAAGTGTGCGTTGGCACGAGGCCACAGGCCAAGTGCTTTAGTGTTCCACTAGTGCCGATACTGCTACAAGTGTGATACTGCGTTTATACAACAGTTTGACGGCATAATCGTGTATATAAAAAAGAAAATCAGACATGGATAGTCTCAAAAGTCCTTTTTTAAGAGGAACTACTTTTTTCTGCCACACATTCACATCTGCAGCTGATGGTCAAACAGCAGAAACTGTTGCTTAAAAACTCACTTTAGTATTTGAATGATTCTTTAAATGTGTTTTTTTTTTTTTTGAAAAAAGTGATGACAAAACAGGTGATTTTGCTCACATTTTAAGATTATAAGGCTGAATGACATGAAATGCCATCCATCTACAGAGATTTCCCAGTATTTCTCTGTTGCAATCGGGAGGTCACAATAATTAACCCTGAAAAAGCCTAAGCAAAGCAAACACTATTAGATTACTGTGGTGTAAATACAGCACTATAACATACAAGAGAGAAAAAGAGACTCAAGAGAGAGATTTCCTAATGCTGCGTTCACACCAGACGCGGAACGGGCTTCAAGCGTGAGTGATTTACATGTTAAGTCAATGCAAACACACGAATAGACATCCTGCGGCACGATACACGCGAATGGTGCGGCGCAAATTGATCGTTTTGTGCGTTTGACATGCGTTGCGCGCTAATTGCTTGAGTTTAAAAGTCTAAACTTCAGCAGACATTCGCGCCACGTTAACCAATCAGGAGCTTGCTCTTGTGGGGGGCGTGATTGTGACGTACACCTGTTGTTGGAGTCCCGGGGGAAATCCTCCAGCCGACACCGACAAAAAGTTCATCAAACTGGGCTCGGCTCAGTCAGAAGCACCGCTGAAAGCCTCCATCATCCAGGTTCAGTTTTTGGAGGAGTTTATGAGCTCACAGAGCTGGATGCCCCTCTGAAAGGATCTAGTGGACTCAGACACGGCCCTAAACATATAGATGCTGTTTTTTTCAGTCTTCATAAAGCACATAAACACTGTTATTTTCTCAATAAAATCCATGTTAGCCATTTAGCTATGAAGCTAGAGTCACCGGGCAGACATAAGCCCTCCCCATCTGTGCTGAAGTGAATTTGACGCGCAAATGAAGCAGGGTTTGACGTGCGAATGAAGTGAATAAACTCAAATGTTCACGCGGCTATTTACACACGAATAGCGTGATTTATCCTGTGTTCCGCGTCTGGTGTGAACACAGCATTAGAATGTCACTTACTGGATTTATAACGATTTAATTTGCTGTAGTTTGAAATACGAAAAGAAAACTCTGAGTTTTTCTCCTGTTAGGACTTATTATGCAGTCTCTGTCGTCATCTTGTGGCACAACCGTCTTTGCTCTGCTCACTACGACAGACTGATGGTCGCCGATCTCTGAAATTATAAATATTTAAAATAGGCACTATCCTTATAATAAAACTGCATAGATGCAATCTAAACAACGACATTCTTACCTAACGTCTCAAAAGTTCATACTGTTGTCCAACAGCTGCAATATTTGTCAAATTAAAGAGTTTATTGATCTGCTGTCACTCTATGTTGGCGGAGTTCTGATATTGCTAAATATCGCAAGATTCAAGAACCATTTATATATATATATATATATATAAGGTTTTGAGAGGTTTTAATTGAAATACATGACAAGGTAAATTTTTAAATGGTTATATTTATCATCTTAATTTGTTTGCCTGTTTTATTGTTCCCACCGACACTGGATTGTTTGTTTGTTTGTTTATTTATTTATCTAATTATTTATTCTGTCAGTAAGTCTTTGGTTTATTTATTTTTCTCATATTCCTTGATATAAGTTGAACAGAACTTCT